AGTTAACCATTTTAGCCTTAACTACTATTAGGTCGTAAAGGCATTGCTGTTCAACTCTTCTGTCAGCAGAAGTGCTGCAGTGTGTTTCAACTCTTTTGAAAAGGTTACGAACGCAACTGCGTTTGTGACACATGGGTTGATTGCTGTTGAAGTGTAGCACTTGGTTTGTGTCGGCGGCCTTTCAGAATACTGTAGTTTGCAGCAGTCCATTTGAACACCGTTGCAAAAGGATATCGATGAAAGGTAGTTGGTTGTTTCTTTGAGCGTAAACTGGTGCCACGGAGCCGTTGCTGTCGGCCTGAACAGGAACTCTCATAACTTTAAAGCACTCGGCCAAACAAATACCGCTATCCGGGCAGGTGGGGCGGGCGACTCTATAGTTTGGTCCGAAAAATAGGATAGTTCATCGTTATGCGTACAGTGTTATACTAATCTCTTCTACGACGTCCTTGTAAATCGAAGCCCTTTCGCCATTTCTAGTATGCCTTGCCACAGCGTCCAAATTAAAAATATATATATATTTTCGCGAACGAAAAAGGTTGCAACACACAGAGTGTTTCGGCACAATAAAAACGTCACTAGCTGCCAGGACGTTGTTTCTCATGGAACGATGAAAGCCATCGCTTTGAAACCTGCTTGTAGTCAAACAACGCGCGTTATTACATTTGATTTACAGCAGGCGACAGGGGCATTTCGCAAAGTCAAGTATCCCTCAACAAAGAACAACCACTGATACTACAAACACATTACTGACAACTCGCTTTCGGAAGAGGGTCACTCCCTTAAAAGCTGTTCTAAAAGACCCTGCACTCCCTGATTTCTGATATTATAAAAATATTTCGACGAGACACCAACTATACTCTTGATTTACATGTTCCTCCACCAATGGACCAGAAATGTCTACAGGAAAACACTAACCGTACATTTGGAATGCTTATGCTTTAGAGTTCACCAAGACAATGCTATATACCGACGGAGACCTGGACGTGGTTTAGCAGACAAACATCTTCTAGGCAAAACGAAAAGTCAATCTAAAGCTTTCTCGTGGTTTCCTTTTATTAGTTTTCTTTGCCTCCAAAATGATTGGCTAGCTATCATCGTTCAGCTCCCGGTTGGGTGTAGTTCTATGCGCTTAGAACCGACCTCCCTGTGCTGACTGTCTTTTCTCAGGCTGCATCTTCCGAACATTTAGCACGCCTGTTTTGTTCCTAGGTTATCAGGTCAACAGCCGAAAAAATAATTCCTATTTTAAAAGTAGCTCCTTACATAGCATTAATATGCGAAATCGCAACAGCACTGCAAATATGTATTAGGTGGCTGGGTCATCATTTTCTCCATCTGTTCAAAGGGACAGATGGAATTTAGAAGCGAACGTGCTGTTATAGAATACATCAGCTAGTAAGGAGGTGTTTATTTCGAAATATCAAATATCTTGTTTCAAAATGCTATATTTCCTTACTAATATGTGGCCGCATGATAAAGAAAGTAAAAGTTGTTTAAAAATACCAAAAACAGTATATTTCAGTGCGTTTCAGTGCTTCTAGCTAAATACAGTGTCAGTTATTTTACACTCGAAGCATTTTATACAAAGCCGGCATTGGCATTATAATTTCTCTTTTTCTAATACCATTGAATCTGGTGAGTAGCCGAATGCCAGGTCGGTACTGGAAGCGCAGACCCAACTTTGTCATAATCAGACCCAACCAGACGTCGTCAACAGGGATGGGGCGAGTAAAATGCATAGCGATGGCCAGCTTCTCCACCTGTTCATATCCCAGGAAGTAGAACGCACCATAACTATATGGTGCCAGTTGGGGCCAGGGCATCTCACGCTTGGAGAATGCCCATGGGTAAAAATAGGCAGTTTTGCCGAAACGGAGTACTGGTACTTTGGTGTGTTCTACACCGACGATCATGCGCTCTCGCCAGTCTGCTTCCAGGCCTCCGAGAAGATGACGTAGATTCGCCGGGTGGAAGCCAAAGTCGTCGTCTATGAAGAGGAAGCCAGGCCGTTCGGTTCGACAAAACCTGGCAGCCCATTGAAAGGCCGTCATCATTTTTGTTGTAAGGTTGTAATAGGTGTCTTCATAGTCGCCTACAAGGAGATCGTTATACTGCAATACTTCTTGTCTCAGATGTCGGAGGATTAGTGGATGGGTGTGTTCGGTGTCTTTTAGAGCCTCTCCAGCTCGATTAGTGAGGGTCAAGTTATATCCGTCACGATCGAATATCCGATTCCCAGATCGTCTGGGCAGACCAACGGAAAAGAGGATGCCTATTCGGAGAGGATATGTGCTGTGTTTACTGAAGTCGTTGATTCGGGCGTACAGGCTGCGGAATGTTTGACGGTCATGGAAGTTGTAAACTGCGGACTTGACCATAACCACTAGGTCGTATTTGGATTCGAGAGCGAAGCTAGTGTTTACATCGTTTTCCTTCACCGGAAGACAAATCGTAGAACTGACATGGAGAAGCTGAATTGGAGGATTGTTCTCAGGACTCTGCAATAATGATAAAACATCTTATTAGCGTCTGTAGTCATCGAAGTGATTGTGTTTAATGTATTATTTGCGTCATATAATTATTTCAGCTACGAGAGTATGTGATGCATGCTCCTGTTAACTTCCAAAGTGAACGTCTAATCTACAGACAGCTTAACGAATATTTTATCTGTTCTCAATTTTAAATGCAGATTTTATGAGAATAAAATGGCTAGGAACAGCAAAATGGGCAAGCCTTCTTTGAGACTGTTTTATACAAAACACTAAGAAAAACGTAATCAAGATTTAGTTGGAATTTGAAATTTATATTTGATAGCGCCAGGAAGGATTTATGATGTCTGTCAACTTACAGTGAATTTCTGGAGAGAAACATAACACTTTACAACGTGTAGTAAGGCTCTGTATAACGGAGGTCATACAGGTTAACGTTACAGATGTGCCTGCATATGTCGTATTGAAACCGTTTGACGTGTAACTAGAAGCAAACTGGTGTCACCAATATGTGGCATTTTGGCAGAGGCAGTTATACAAAAGTTAAAGTCGGAGCCGACCGCCCCGTAATTCCTTCTTTGACGCCTAAAACAAAAAAATATGAAGAATAGGCATTTTGACCACTTTAGCGCAGAATCGAATGAACTGACCAACTCTTGCATTTCTGAATAATATATCTGAGCTCCGCGAAAGACAGGTACGAAAGCATCGCATACTTGCATGCGTCTGACAGCTATTTTGCCTACTGATTACACAGGTAAATTCGAATGACGAATATCTACGTACACTGTGGCCACCATATAATATTATGTTTGTCATCGTTTTGAGTTAAAAAGTTCCTACAGCGCTAAGCAGGGTTAGAAGACTCGAATATTTACACAATATGTGTTGACACGTAGGCATCCGAATTAAAATAAATTGGAGCCAGTTCGTCAACTCACTTATAGTTTAGTACAAATGGCAACAACAGCTGTCATCCTAAGTTATTTGATTAAAAAATCAAACGCTTTTTTCACCTGTGTATAAACACTGTGGGGCGAGGTACCACACTTAAGTCTTCAAGGACGTGACAATAGAAGAAACGAACATCAACTCAATGCTTACAATCATTTGCACCATCCCAATTAGCTACCCTACACAGCAAGATCTTATGAACAGGGCATTTTAAGAAGCTACCTCGGGCACTGCTCGGCACGACTTCACTCTGCTAACGACCTCCGACATGTTGAGGCTCTGTGGATAAAGCAGGTACACCCGGTTGTCCACAGGCAGACGCCAAAGTCGATCCTCAATGGCAGCCATATCCTCGAAGGAGAGCGGGCGTGGATACCTGTCAAATTTCATAACTTTGCTGCTATGAACGCGGTTAAAGCGGGTTGTTGCGATGGTTGAATCCACTGGTAAGTTAAGTTGCAGGCGGTAACTTCCGTCTACAGTTGCTCGTATTGGAGCATACCAGTCACTTGTACAGATCTCAATTCCGCCAGTGTCGCCAGAAGCTGTGGAGAAACTCCAATCTGCAGGGTGTTCCGTCGCTATGAAGAGCCAGTGCGAAAAAGAAGGCAAAAAGGCTATTACAACGAGCAAGATGAGAAGGTGGATCAGGCGACATCTCTTCAATCCTCGGGATGGAACTTGACGTTGATGTGAAGATATCCCTATCTGACGCCACATTTTTCAAGTGGTTAAACGTAGAGATCTTTGAGGCGACCTTGTGTGTCAACGTCTCATGCGCGCTTTGCTCTATGGGAAGTTCGTATTGACTAAGCGCACACTTTGTATGCCCTAATAGCATTGCGCGCGTTAGCGTAATACGCAAACGCGCGCTTCACG